GTTCCCCGGAGCTTGAAGATGCAAATGAACCCAGCTCATAGGTATACACAGGTTCTAACTTCACTGGAGCCTCTTCATCCAATGGATTATGCCCAGTTTCTGTGTTTCTTGTATGTTCAGCAAACTCCGGGAGCAGTGGGATAGAAACCTCAACTCCAGCAGGAATATTTGTACTATCAAAAAACACTTGCAAACTTGCATGATCAACATCCATGAAATCCTCGTTACATTTAATGTAGTAATCACCGTAAGAACCACAATCAAGGTTAAGAAAGTTATGCCATCGAGGGTTAGTGCTTGAGGAACATTCAACCTTGCTTCCTTGTACCAAAGTTCTGGTAGCAGCTTGCTGCAAAATAATAGAATAATTTCGTGACAGTGGTCGGTATACACGTAAGGGTGAGGAACAGGTACTAAAATGAAAGGACATAATCAGCAGCTTGTGCATGGTTTAACATTAATCATATACCTTAGCTTCATGTATACCAAAATCATTATCGTCTCTTTCTACTGCCTTTCCCTTGTTCCTTGTGTCAGCTTTCTCATCAAGGATAACAGTATCAGCAGAAGCTTTATCTTCATCAATATCTATAACTCCTGGAAGAGCAACCTACAAGAACTAGAATTTTTACTACCAAATACATCCTGCGGAAATATAAGGCAAAGCACTTTAAATCTGATCAAGTAATAAACAAATCGATCCTGAACAGCACTAAACACAACATGAACAATTCTTATCTATTCTGAATATTTCCTCCAATTTTGTTATATTTATTTGAGAAAACGAATAGCACTGTTTTGAAAACAACAAATTCATTTGTCAACCCCGTAGAACGACAGAAATCTCACTTCTCCAAAATGGAGGAAACTAAACTAGGCATATATCTTTCAAAAACATACTAGCTTGATTGTCATAAAATCGAATTCTGCCACATAGAAAAGATCATGGACTAGCAATTACATCAGTGTTATTAAAACTCAAGGAACCCTGAAGTGCCGAGATAGGATACCTTACTCAAACTAAGACATGAACTAGATGATGCGAAGCCTATTCCTTTGCATGTACAAGTGAATAAACATTCATGCACCGGCAAAGAACAATCACAACCAAACCTAAACTTTACATTTTTGATGTATACTGAAAAAACACATACTTACTTTGCATCATAGAAATAA